CCCGCCGCGCCCCTCCGGCCTGCGTCCCCCTCCGCCTGCCCCGGCGCTGCGGGCAGGGGCTGGGGGTACCGGGGAGGAGGGGTGCCTCCCCCGGGGGCCCGGGAGGGTCTGCGGGCTCTGTGGCCTCGCTTGTCGCTGGGGCTGGGAGCCCGGCACAGGCTTTGGCCCACAGCACACACCGCAGCGCCTGTCTGTGTCCGGGACCGGTGGCATCTCCGGTGCTTTTCAGGCGGCTGGGGCCAGCCTGGCTCTGCTGGGCTCTTTTTGACAGTGGTCGCGTTTAAGCAATTTAATTTCTCTGTTAAATGACCCTAAATGGTTTTCTGTGCTACAAACCCAGTTAAGTGTTCTGGAGAGGCCGAGCGCTGCAGCTCAGCAGCGATTCCCTGCAAGGAGCTGGGTCTGTCCTGCTCCCAGGATCTGCACCGGGATCTCTGGGAAGCTCCAGCCTTGGGCTGCGCTTACCGGGGTCGCTCTGCTTTGGGTCCTGCCTCTCTTTTGCCTCTCCCTTGTGCTCAGTTTGCTTAGTCCTGGTCAGTCGGAGGCATTTCGGTAGCCTAAGGGCCTGCAGCACCTTCAGTGTCTTTCCCTTGGCAGGAGCCTCGTGGGGCAGGACTGTGCTGCGCAGCTCGCGCTGAAGAGGGTGAATTGAGGCCTGGAGGGTTCACGTAAAGGTGGTGTGGTCAGAGCAGAGGGTTTAATGAAGGCTCTGGAGGCCTTGGCTGGTCCTGAACAACTCCCTTATCCTCTCCTTTCATACCAGGGGAGAGCAGCGGAAAAGCCCTTGGACTTCTTGTCCATCAAGTCATATAACTTCTCTCTCTACAGATTTTTTTTTTAAAGTTACAAGAAGTCGAAACAAACTGCTCCCAGCCTCCCAGAATGGCAGACCAGAAACGCCTTGCCTACTCCATCATCCAGTTTCTACATGACCAGCTGCAGAACGGGGGCCTGTCTCCAGATGCTCAGGAGAGTTTGGAAGGTAGGTGGTTGTGTGTGCTTCCCTGTTCACGCACCTAGGTCTGTCAGCCCAACGCGTGGGGGAATCTGGACGCTGCTCCTCTCCTCTGCCTCTTCTTTGGCTGGGCTGTTCCTGACATCAAACCTTGTTCAAGATTCAAAACGAATTTGTCTTCTTGGGGAGGTATCCAGGGCATTAGGGATGCTGATTGCTTATCTGAGTTCTTGGTATCTCTTTTAAGAGCAGATTAGCTTGAGGAAGGGATATACCTGGGATCAAAAGCCTCCCTGACCCTGGGTTTGTGACTTAGAAATTTTATCTTAAATAAGGTGGAGTCAAGAGGCTCGTAGTGTAGTGTAAAATGAGAACTTCATCGTTGTATGGAAGTGTTTTATACTCGCAGAGTGCTTTTCCCGTTCTGCTATCAAAATGCTTTTCCGCAGCATGCCCTGGAGTATTTGTACAGGCTTTTTCAGGGGGCTTCACTGTTAATGAGAGCACGCTGATCTTAAAAGATCCACTTAAGGAGCTTACGCTTTAGTCTTTGGCCTGTACATTTGTCCCACTGAAAGAGAGCGCAGGCACGTCTGTGGAGCGGCGGGTACATTCCTGGGCGAGGCGGGAGGAGGGTGTTGGGTGGAAGGAGGGCTTTATTCCTGGTGCTTTTGGACTGTAAAATATGGCAGGAGAGTTTTGTCGAAGTGAGCTCTGTTAGGTTGCTGGGGTTCCCCTCCCTGCTGGGAGCAGCTTCCCCACCCGCTGCCCAATGAGGGAGGAGGCGGGGGCAGCTGCAGCCCCTGCGGGACCCTGTGCACCTCTGCGTGGCCACCGCGCTTCACAGGGCACCCACCCTCTGGCAAGTGACCACTTTCTGAAACATGCAGATCTCTCCTTGCTCTTTGCTGCCTGCAGCTGTGGGAAGGCCCAGTAAAGCCCCAGTTTGATCAGCTTCTACCCCCAGCACCTGCTCTGGAGTCAGCTGAGGGGATGGGAGTTGTGAATGACTTGATCTCCAGAGCTAAGGTTTGCCCAGCTCTGAGGTTTTGGCAAAATTTGAGGATATGGCCCAAATATCAGGTCTGGTGTGCGGAACTGGGTGGTTTAGGGTGTTGGGGTTTTTTTCCTGGTATGTTCAACAGTAAGAAATTCAGGTGCTGTGGGAGGAGGCTAAGTATTTAGAAGGAATGGGGAGAGCTAATTACCTGACTCTTCTTGTCCAGTGGCCATCCAGTGCCTGGAAACAGCATTTGGGGTCTCGATGGAAGACCAAGGCCTAGCTGTGTCCCAGACTCTTCCTGAAATATTCGAAGCTGCTGCAGGAAAGGTGAGCAAGTGCCCTAAAATGTGTGCTGAGTTTCCATGTAAGCAGCCAAAGCGATGAGCTCCGCTTGATTTCTGTGGCGCTGCCGCCCCCTCGGAGGCGCGTGGGAGTGAAACGTTTTGGGCTTGATAAGCCAGCGCTTGGGAAGGGGGAGGTGTGGCGCATCTCCGTGCGAGTCCTTATCACAGCGTTCTCCCTTTCCCTGTAAGGAGTCTGAACACATCAGGACAAATTCGGAGCCCATCACCCCCTCTGAAGATGACATAGCTGAAGCTGAAAGACTCAAGACTGAAGGTAACCTCCTCTGGAGCTGGTGAATAATGAGGTTTCGATGGTAATGGGGAGGGAAGCTTAATTCATTCAGCACCTGGGGGATGCTTGGAATGGGGAAAAAAAGCAAATGGGATCAACCCTTGCCTTTCTGCTTGTTTCTCTGCTTGTGCTCCAGGAGCGTGTGTAGGTTGGCATAATTTAGCTGCCACAGAGCCTAGCGAGACGGCTGGGTCAGCGTTTTCTTTTGCATCCTAAGAAGCCCGCGCTGCGTAGAACAAGGCATCTCTCCTGTTGAGCTCTCCTCTCCGTGCTGCCTTTTCTCTGCTGCGAGAGAGTGCGATTAGTGCTGAAGCACAGCAGAGAGCTTTGAGCCCCCGCGCTGCAGTGCTTTTCAGGACGCAGTGCTGCTTTGGGGAGGCCTCGGGTGTGCCCGAGGTGGGGGGACGGCTGAGGGTGCCGGGGGGCTTGCAGGACCAGGCGGCCTGGAATTGCTGAGACGGGTCCCCTGCCTCCCTGCTGAAGGCTGCTCACACCTGCAAGCAGTTTGACCAGCAAAAGTTGCAAGAAGTTGGTTTCTCTCTCGTTCTGTTTTCTGCAGTAGAACGTAGATCCAGGCCTGTTGCTTTTGTTTGGCCCCGTTTTTTCACGTGTTAATGAGCCTTTCTGCCATCTCTTTAGGAAATGACCAAATGAAGGCAGAAAACTTTGAAGCTGCTGTGTCTTTCTATGGAAAAGCAATTGAATTAAATCCATCCAATGCTGTGTATTTTTGCAACAGGTACCGATTATCTTTCTTCACCTTTGTACACCTGTGTTTTTGTTCTTACTGCTTAGATCTAAGACTCTTGAATGGTCAAAATCCCTTTTTTACAATGCTGTGGACTGCTTGATCTGTTGCTTGCTCTTTGTGTGGGCTTTTTTTTAATCTCATAGTGACACATTCCTGTGCCTCCTGCCAGCTCCGTGCCCTGCCACCTCCAGATAGGATGTGGGTGTGGAAACAAACGCTATTAGGCGTTTGAGGAGATATAAGGATGCCAAGAAATGCTGTCCGCTTTCATGCCATTAACTCTAAGTGCGATACAGAGCCCAGGATTGAGAGGCTGTGTTGATAACAAAGGAGTGAAATGAGACAAGTTGAAGGCTCGTTACTGAGAATTAATAAGTTGAATAAGTTGATGCGTGTGCAAAATGGGGTATGCAAGCGAATTTCCTATTTTTCAGTTCTAAGCAAAGGTGTTTGAAAGTTGGTGGGAAGACAATTGTTGAATAAAACACTTTGAATTGGGATTTGCTTTAGTTATCTGCTTATCGTGAGTACGTGCGTACGGCTGGCTACATGAATAACGTGTCTGCGCACGTGCTCGTGGCGTGGTGAGGTATTTCTTGGGGCAAGGAACTCCAACTGGTGCTTTTAGCTAAGCTTTGCGTTACCCTGCGTGCAGGTCAGTCCCCTGAGGTTTTGGGCAGGTGCCCTGATGCCAACAGGAGTTGTGAGACTGAGGCTCGAACGAGCGTGTTATCGCTTCGAAACCACTCTTCCCTCGTATGCGGAGTGGGGGGGGGAATGGATGAAACGGTCGTTATGACTAAGAAATCAAGGCATGAGGGAAGCTGAGAGAGATTGTCTGAGCTAGCAAGTCTGATACTTCCGTGCCTCCCCGGAGCCCAGGCTCCTCTTGGAAAGTCCATAAGGAGGAGTGAGAGCCTAGATTTATTTGCAGTAGGAGCAGAACGTGGAGCTGGGTGTTTGGATAGCCACCTGCTCACCCAGTTACGGCCTGGATTTATGTCAAGTTCGCACTTGACTTTGCCTTGTACAACAGGAGACTACAGAGAGGGAACAGGGGTGACCTTGATCAGCGCATTCAAGCTGATAAGTCTTTTCTGCACATCTTTCTTCATTCCCTCCAGAGCTGCTGCATACAGTAAACTAGGAAATTATGCTGGAGCAGTGAGAGACTGTGAAAGAGCTATAGGCATTGATCCAAACTACAGCAAAGCATATGGCAGAATGGGGTAAGTAAGAGCAGGTTTTTTGTGCCAGAATTTTAATCTCAAAATGCCTTGTGGCAGTGATCCTATCAGTGGCGTTCTGCCCTGGAATGCCGTGCAAAAATACCTAGTGTTTCACCTCTGCTGGGGTGCAGGAAGACTGCGAGTGCTTATCTGACTCTGTGACTTTTTATTTTACTTCCACTTCAATAGCTTGGCCCTCTCCAGTTTAAATAAACACACAGAAGCTGTTGTTTACTACAAAAAAGCCCTGGAGCTGGATCCAGACAATGACACATATAAATCAAACCTTAAAATAGCTGAACAGAAAATGAAGGAGACTCCTAGTCCAGTAAGTTCTGAAACTAATGCTTGTTATACGTGGGGAAGATTAGAAGGAGGCTTCTTCACTGTAAGTGCTAACGGGCGCTGTCTGGCAGAGCCTTGATAACCTGGGTCGTGGTTAGAATGCAGATCTTGGGTGCAGACAGAGCGGAGAGAGTTAACGAGTCCTGCCATGAACATTTCCACTGAAATGCAGAGAGGGTAACTTCCCTGCTTGAGCAGTCACCTTGGGCTTGTTTGAAAGAGCTGGAAAATGAGACTGATGAGAAAGGAGTGTTCTGAAACAGCAATTTTGCCTTAAGCACCTTTCTTAATTAAAGTCACTACTCCTAAAATCCAGCTTTTTCTTTTTCTAGTGACCCATTAGCAATACCAAAGGGGTATTTTAGGTGGCTTTTTTTCTTACAAAGATTGTTTTCTTAAAAGAAACCTGGAGCTTTCCTAGCCAGAAAGCTGGTGACTGCCCTGCTGACATGCTGTGCGCAGGAACACGTTCGTTTATCATTTTGAAGGGGATTTTAATTTTCGAAGGACTTCTCCAGTGCAGAGGTGACCAAGTGGCGGTGTGTAACTTGGCAGCTGTAATGGTTACAGCTGTACGTTGCTAACGTGGCTCAGCGGGAGGGGGTGATCGGTAAGTCCTGTGCTGCAGACAGCTGCCCTCTGACTCCCCTAGCGAGCCTGATCCCCCAAGGCTGGCTGTGACTCTGAGCTGCACAGAAAGGGTACGGACAGAGCCTCTTCCCTTTGTCATGGTTTAAGGGGCAGATTCTGATAACACAGGGGTTAAAGTATCGATGTTCATTGTAATGTGCATCAGGAAGTGAGAGGATGGCACCATCTGCCTCTGGTTTCTTTATTGTTACAGACTGGAGGTCCGGGAGGATTCGATTTAGCTGGCTTGCTGAACAACCCCGGCTTCATGAGCATGGTAAGGTTGGACACAGGTCACAGCCGGGCTGTATCTGGTCTGTTCGGGATGAAATGTGTCGGTACGTGGCGTGGGGAGCTCCTGTGTCTCTTGAGCAGATTTGTTTTCGTTTTATTTCTTGGTTTCAGTGGTGCTGTGAGGAGGCTGTGCTTGTGTTTCATTAAGGTCAAACGAAGAGCCAGTGACGTATCCACAGGCTTCTCCTTGTGACGCGCTGGATGTGGAAAGGGTGCCTGTTCTGCATTACCAGCCTTGTCTTGTGTGGTGCACTGTGTTTCTTTTAGCTATCTTTGTCCTATTGATGTGTTTCCAAGTATTTCTGCCTTCGCTTTGTTTGTAGTTGAATGGCACAACATCTGCATATCTACCCAGTCATTTCTGACTAAATAGGCTGTCATTTTTTTCTCCCTTCTTTAAATAGGCATCTAACCTAATGAACAACCCACAAGTACAACAGCTGTAAGTTTGATCCCATCTTGTATTTCCTCTTTGAATCGCTCGTTTCAGGCTCTGTGTGTTTGGCATTTGCAGTAGGTCTGAACTGGTGGGAGCGGGAGGGTGCTTGGGCCACAAGTACAGAGGGCAGCCTTTAAACCAGTCCAGTTGCCTGGGCTAGTGTGTATTTTGAGTACTCTGGCCTGTGCTGAAGAGGGATCATAGTATAAACGTTTGCAGAGGGGAGGCAGGGTAGATCATGGCACTGGAATTGGGTTTGGGAAGCTTGGAACCCGTTTGGCTCTGCTGCACGGTATTTTTGTGTCCTGGAGACAGGATTTCACGGCTCCATCTCAGTCAGAATGAGAATATTTCCATTCTTTGTGCTACAGGGTTGTGAGGATCAATTCACAATGTTTGTGAGATGCTTAGATAATATAAAGTCATAAAATTAATAAGGCACATACCTCTCCTGACCATCCTTTCAGAGCACAGGTAGGCAGGGAGGCAGAGACCTTCTGGAGCTCATCCTTTGATTACCGCATGAGATAACTTGGCGGAAGAGCTGAACGTCAGCCACCGTTTCCATTTGCTTCTGCCTGCTCCTTCTGCAGCTGTTGCTGGCTGAGGTTCTGTGCCAGATGCAGCCTGAGGACTTCAGGGGAAGGGGCTGTGCAGACCCAGTGGCTTCGGGGCTGTTCGCCCTGAGTGAATCTGTGCTTAGGCTCTCCTGTCGGTAGACCTCGTTTTGATGCAGAGCAAGCAAATAGCTTGTGTGAGGAAGGGCAGTGTTTTAATTAAATAAACCTAAGACAGGGCTTGCACACAAAAGGGGGAATCTCTGGGAATACAGTAACTGACACTATTATAAATATTTCTACATATTGTGCAGTTGAATGTCGCAGTTGCTCTTCTGCAGTTAACGTACAGAAAGTTGTTGCAGAAGATTTCCTTGCAGATAACTTCATAATCTGTGTGGGAAGGTGCTCCCGTTACGCTGACACTTTCCTCCCAGCGTAAACCAAACAATTTCTGTGGTTTTTTTTCCTGCTCTGAGCAACGACTGTTACTTCACAGCATGTCCGGGATGATTTCTGGTGGCCACAACGCCATGGGAGCAGCAGGCACCAGCCCCTCCACGAATGATCTCGCCAGCCTCATACAAGCGTGAGTAGGGAGCTGGGTGTTTCCCATTGCTTTGCTCAGTAAATGGATTCAGGGGTTTTCTGACCAGAAGTGGAACCTTAATTTAACAGTTGAGGAAGGCTTAAATGTTGGGTGAAATACGGCCTCTTTCGGTGATGTGAACTACTCGTTGGAGTTGAGTTTTGACAATCAGCTGTAAAGAATTTCCTGGCACCAGACCGTGTTTGTGTGCGTGTGAGAGCACTAATGGGCCTGTTGCTGTTCTCCTTCAGGGGCCAGCAGTTCGCTCAGCAGATGCAGCAGCAGAATCCTGAACTAATAGAGCAGCTACGAAGCCAGATTAGGAGTCGAACTCCAAGTGCCAGTAACGAAGATCAGCAGG